GCGATAAAGGGACCTTGACAGTAGCAACCGGACTTGGGACGCACAAAGAGAAAAAGGTATGAGTTGACATTCATGTTCAAGCTGCAGGGTCGCAAATCTGCTTGCACAACATGTGCGGGCAGCAGCGAAATTCTCCGATGGCTGACCCCATTTTTGGGTCCAAATATGGACCCCAAAATGGGGTCCAGAATTGGATCACATTTTCATTCCTTCTTTTAGGTCTTTGCTTGGGCCCCGTTTTGGGATCCAGATTTGGACCCAAAAGTGGGGTCAGCCATCGGAGAATTTTGCTGCTGCCCGCAGAGGTTTTGCAAGCAGATTTGCGACGCACTGGCATGAGCATAAGTGTTAATACATGCTTTTTCTCTCTCTGCGTCCCACTTTGTTTCTTCTACAGTCGAGGTCCCTTTCTGGCCGCCATGTTTCTACTAGTTTTTTGAATCCTGTTTTGGGAGCCATGATGAAGCAGGTTTGTTGGCATTCGAGGCGCTCCAAGGCTTACCGAGGCCTGCCCGAGGCACGCATGGCAGCCTTAAGGTTGCTGCGCATGTGTTGGTCAAGCCGTGGTTTGCCGCGCCTCCTCCTTGCACCTTTCACTGCTTCGTCAGAAAAGTGAAAAAAATGCCCATAGAAGATATACATCTTGCGCTGGCTCCCAATCCAAGAGTTTTACTTGGTTCCTGTGCGCCTTCTAGTGCAGTTTCGGTTGCAGGCGGTTGGTGGGTTGCTGCAGTAGGTTTTGTTGTTGTCTTGCAGCGATATCGCTCATGTGGCTCTTGGGCGTGTCCTGGTGGGTTAGTTAGTGGCTGGACATGGTGTTGGGGTCGCATTTGGGGGTACCTTGCGGGTTGGATCTGAAGTCTCAAAGTCTTGTGATTGAAAGCTTCTCTGTCGGGAGTAGGGCGGTACTTAGTACCATGGGGGAAGGTTTTGGCGGCAGCAGGTTCAAAGTCCTTTATGGCCCTAGTTTCTAGGGTCACAAAGGAAACAACATGTGTGGAGGAATCTATTGCAGGTTCTGGCACGCGAGCTGAACCACTTGAAGCAGCAGCACAAAGCGTTGCGACAGGCATCTCAACTGTGTTGCTTTGGCTTGCAGATGCAATTTGTCACTGTTTTCTGATGTTGGCCCTCTTGAGACCATCGCGGAGAACAAGAAAGAACAGAAGTCGGCAGCAAAGCGCCGCCAGCGGTTGCTAAAAGCAGCCCAACAGCCGCCAAGCTAGGATGTGCGTTTTCCCACAGCGCGGAGCGTATAGTTGATGAACTTGGCCTACTATACCCTGAAAACCGTGGAAATTTGCGGAAAAACATGGCCAGCGTATAGCGTATAGTTGGTTCAATTCGATAAAAAAACTATACTAAAAAAAATCTTTCTTAGAATGTAAGCTGACCGGCCAAAATGGATCTCACGCCACAGCGCGGAGCGTTTAGTAGGGTACTAAACCGTCTGGCCCGCAACACCAAAATTGTGTTCTCGCCACAGCGCGGTGGGTTTAGTTGGGCTCTTTGTTTGTACGATTATTTTACAGATTCCATTTGTTTGCGTGACGGGCGCAGCACTTGAGAACCCCGTACGGCCATCTAAAAGGTTGAAGCGCGGCAGGCGCAGCGCTTGAGAACCCTGTACGGCCATCTTAAAAGTTGAAGCGCGGCAGGTGCAGCGCTTGAGAACTCCGTGCGGCCATCGTAAAGGTTGAAGCGCTGCAGGCGCAGCGCTTGAGAACCCAGTACGGCCATCTTTCCTTGCATGGCCCCCACAAGGGCCAACCACAAACTGAACCCCTGCGACCCCATTGTCAATGTTGAGGGTGTGTTGATGCTATTGCAACTAAGAAGTGAATTCCAATTTGAGGATGTGACCTGAGGCAAAATTTCTTTTTGATGGCTATCAGTTCAAAAGGTGAAACTGCAACATTTAAGCTTCCGTCCAACATTGAAGATGGGGCGCAGGGATTTAAACATACGTCAAATCCTCATCTTGGATTTGCAACTGCAAGTCTGGAGTCTGGAAGCGCAAACATCGACGATTCCCCTTTGCAGGAGGCACTCTTGGGAATGCCGATGTCGGGATTCTCCACAGGAACTGTAAATCTGAACACCACAAGCCGCTTTTGAAGCATCCAAAAATCTCCGAGCGTCACACCGGCTTTCGGTGTGTGTAGATAGTCCAATCTTCCAGTGAAGAAAAAAGGGGAGCTACAGCAATCATAGCTGAGAGTCAAAGATCGCGTTTATCTTTCGTCTTGGTGGAGGCTTCAGGTTGGGCTTGCCACTGTGATGGGCGCTGTCCTTCTGCTGCAAGAGCGCTGTTGATTTCCAACCACATTGATGAGAAAGAGTTCACTACTGCAATTTTTTCAGCTTTGTTCCATGGACGGGGCAAGCAACGAAAGATAGCTTTGTTGGGTTCCTCTGCAAATGAGGGAAATCTTTCATCTGGGCCCCAATGAAGGAGATCTACCCACAGGGCAGTGTGTGCTTGGCACCATCGGCTTCCGCCTTTCCACTGCTCCATGTGGAGGCGTCAAATAAAAGTATCCAGCCGCGCTTCAACCTTTAAGATGGCCGTACGGGGTTCTCAAGTGCTGCGCCCGTCACGCAAACAAATGGAATCTGTAAAATAATCGTGCAAACAAAGAGCCAACTAAACCCACCGCGCTGTGGCGAGAACACAATTTTGGTGTTGCGGGCCAGACGGTTTAGTACCCTACTAAACGCTCCGCGCTGTGGCGTGAGATCCATTTTGGCCGGTCAGCTCACATTCTAAGAAAGATTTTTTTTAGTATAGTTTTTTTATCGAATTGAACCAACTATACGCTATACGCTGGCCATGTTTTTCCGCAAATTTCCACGGTTTTCAGGGTATAGTAGGCCAAGTTCATCAACTATACGCTCCGCGCTGTGGGAAAACGCACATCCTAGCTTGGCGGCTGTTGGGCTGCTTTTAGCAACCGCTGGCGGCGCTTTGCTGCCGACTTCTGTTCTTTCTTGTTCTCCGCGATGGTCTCAAGAGGGCCAACATCAGAAAACAGTGACATGGAGAATGCCAACAAACCTGCTTCATCATGGCCCCTAAAACAGGGCCCAAAAAAGTGGTCAAAACATGGCTGCGATAAAGGGACCTTGACAGTAAGTAGCTGTCCACATGGTCACGGTAGGCACTGCTGGCAATAGTGGCAAGTTCGTCAGGGTCACGATCAGGGGTCTAACCAGGTCAGACTCTGGATTTGGGCTGCGATGCCGAGATGCCAACACGATAACAGTCCAGCATTAATTTCCGTGAAGGCTTCGCTGACCAGGATGATGCCCTTGATGGCAACAACCCACTCATCGCCAAATGATGAAACCAGCGGAGAGTTGTGATCCACCCTCCGCCAGTACCGCAGCCAGTAGCGCCGGTAGCAGTGAAAAACCTCGCACCACCTCACACGTGCAGTTTCAGTAAGCTACTCGAGCTAACGTAGGGTACCTAAGTTTCCCATACATGCATTTAGCCTGTGACTCGATCTAGAGCGGCTTTGTCACCATGGGGTACCTATGGTTGACCACTACCCATTGTGGCTACCTTTGTTGTAAGCATGCCGGAGCCAGTATGGGACGGGAGATGTGGAAGTTTGAACCCTTGTGGGTGCAACTTGGCATTGGTGCGACCTGACTTTCATTGATCCTTCAGTGGTGAAACTGGAATGGGAAGGTGTCTGACATAAGCAGTTTCAATATTGCTTTGTGGAAAAACAAAGAACCAGGAGCAACAACAACACAACACAAACAAAAACAACCCACACAAAACACAAAAAACCACACAACCCCAAAGCAGTGACATGACAGGTACCAGTTGGGTGAAAAAGATCAGTTGAGAAGAGAGGTTATAGCTTAGTATCAACTCGGTGCATGCAGATGACAACTTATGTGTCATGCTGAGCAGGTCCATTCAACAAAAGCAACCGCAAAAACCACAAAATCACCATGGGCCATTCAAAGGGTGCAGAAGCAACAAAGCCCAATGCGGAAACCAGGGATCCCCCCAGCCAGGATCCCCGAGATCACAGAGGGCAGCCTTCATGGCATAACAGTCACCCTGACACTTTGAAACAAACACCGACAACGCCGGGTGGCAACAAAGTGGTGAGAAAACTACCGCAGTGAAACAGAAGAGTGAAACATGATCTACGGTGAAAAAGACGGCGCGGCTACAGCACTCAGGGCACCCTCAGAGTCCTTCGAAGCTCCCTTAAGGTACCTTAAGGTGGCTTGGAGCGTTGAAGCCTTGGCTGAAGGCTTTGAAGGTACCTTAAGGGAGCTTCGAAGGCTTCGAAGGCACCTTAAGGGGGCTTCGAAGCCTTCCTCAACGGACCTTCAAATTCAATTTCTCAAGCTCCCCCCTTAAGGTACCTTCCTGAAGGGCCTCTCACCGACTGCCTGCAACTTGGAGATACTGAGGCCTGAGGTGGACGCGCTGCAAAGGCGGATTGGCAGCAGCAGCAATGTCGGGATGCTATGATTCCATCGATCTCGGAAGTTCTTTGACCTCTTGGAGGAGTATGAATCTAACTGAGATGGTTTTTGGATCATCCGTTTCGATTCTTGTCATTGCTTCGTCCATCTGAGATGTTGGTGAAGCCTATTTGATTACTTCTTGCGAGTATGTGAGATTGATAAGTATTTCGCCATATAGATACTGTATAGATATGTATACAAAACCACCTAAACAGCTGAAACCAACTGTTCTTATCAGTGTGACAACTCACTGATTTGGTGCACCATGAATAGCATGGATGACAGATGTTCGCGCAGGCGTTTTGGAACCAGGAAAAGAATCATGGTAGCGGAGCCCAAGGATCCATAAGCCTAGTGCTGTGGTGAGGGCTCGACAGAGGGCAGGACCCAAACCCTCACGAGGACTGAACCCAATCCTCAGTAGCGAAGGGTTCCAAACCGGTCGGGCACCTTTGCCGGCGCCATAGTGTCTTCACTGCTTGGTACTGCTAGCTTCGAGCATGGCGGCTGCAGCCCCGGAGGCACTGGTGGAGTTGATAACAAATGCTGCCAGAGCAGCCCAGTCAGCAGCAGAAGCTGCGCGTACAATGAAAGAAGTGTCAGAGGCAAAGAACCGAAGCAATTTCTCAGAAGCTTCGAAGGTTGTCAAGTGTCCCGAGTTTTTCGGATACCCCACTTCAGATGAGGATCAGAACTGTTGGCGTGATTTTGCATTTTCTTTTAAAGCTTGGTTGATTTTCGCAGACAGTGGTTTTGAGGCTGAACTTGAGCAAATCGAGAAGACTTCAGATACTGTTTTTAGCGTCCCAACCAATGCAGAGACTTTGCAAAGAGCCCACAAGTTGTATGCCATTTTGAGTGGATTGTTGCGACATCGTCCACTTCGTGTCCACAAACAGGTCATTGATAGGAATGGCTATGAAACTTGGAGACAGCTATGCCAGTTGTATGCACCCCGAACGAAGTCGAGGTCAATCAGCTTGTTACAGGCTCTGATGAGCTTTCCAGCCTTTGACAAGAGCAGGACGCTGCTCGAGCAAATTCAGTCCTTGGAACGTGTCAGGGACGAGTACCAACGAAGTTCAACTGTCTCTTTGCCGGATGATTTGATGGTTTCAACCCTTTTGCGTGTTTTGCCCAAGAACATCCAACAACATCTTCATTTACAAATGACCTCAACAACTGATTATGCAGCAGTGCGTGCCATGGTTTTGAACTACGAAATTGCAAGTTCTTCGTTTTCAACAGGCCGTATTCATGCTGAGTTGGGAGTTGTGACCAGTTATTCAACAACAGCTGGTTCAGGTCCTATGGAGATTGACCGGATTTCAGAGAATTACAAGGGTAAGTCAAAAGGGAAGTATGGCAAAGGCAAGGATTCAAAAGGAAAAGGCAAACAAGCCCCTTACAAAGGTAAAGGGAAGTCTGCGTCGAAAGGTATGAAAGGAAAGGGCAAAGGGGGCAACAAAGGAAAATGCAAGTCTGGTGGTGTTTCAAATGACACTTGTAGATATTGCGGCAAGGTTGGACATTGGGAGAAAGACTGCAGAAAGCTGAAACGTGATCAAGGTGAACAGGTTCGACAAGTCGGTGCAACAGCGCCCCCAGGTTCATCCCCTTCAAGCAGTAGTGTGAGTCGCAGTGCAACCTCTTATTCAACAGGATCTGAGACTTCGACCATGCAGACAAGCTCACAACATGGATCTCAGACTGGCTCAAATGTGCGTCGGGTTGCATTCACCACTCCATTCATTGAAGAGTTGGACGAACCTGAAGATCTCACAGTTTTTCATGACAGTTGCAGTTATTTCCACGACGTTTGCATGATTTCAACTATCAAACCATTCAACAAACTTTTCAACAACCTATACAACTGTGTTTGTTTTGGTAGGAACCATGCTTCGATTTTGCCGCGTTTTGACATGAGTTACAGTGATTTGGATGCTGCTTGGACGTTTTCGTTTGAGGATGAATGCAGGCCCACACAACAGGGTTCCAGAGACTTCGAAAGTGACTGCAAGATGTTTTCACTGGAAGATGGATGCAAGTAATTTGAACAGGGTTCCAGAGACTTCGAACGTGACTTCAAGATGTTTTCACTGGAAGATGGATGCAAGTCATTTGAACAGGGTTCCAGAGACTTCGAACGTGACTTCAAGATGTTCTCACTGGAAGGTGGATGCAAGTCATTTGAACAGGATTCCAGAGCACTCGAACGTGACTGCAAGATGTTTTCAGTCGAAGATGACTGCAAGATGTTTGAACAGGACTGCAGAGCATTTGAACGTGATGGCAAGACGTTTTCATTTGAAGATGGTTGCAACATGTTTGAACAAGAATGCAAGATGTCTTCACTTGCAGATGAATGCAAACAGTTTGAAACATGTTCACATGTCCGTGCTGTTACAGCAGAACAGATGGAGATTGTCTTGGATTCAGGCGCAGATGTCAGTGCATTGCCATTGAGGTATGGCACCATAGGCAAGTCATGTCCTCAGCCCAGAGATGGAGCCTTTGTTGATGCACAAGGTGGCAGGTTGAATGTGAGAGATGTTCGAATTGGCAAGGTACAACTGGGTTCAGTTTCTTTTCGAGAACGTTTCATCATTGCAGATGTCACGACCCCGTTGTTGGCATTAGGAAGCATTGTCAGGGCAGGTTGGTCTTTGCATGCTGATGGAACACAACAATTTCTTTGCAAGGGTGACAAAACTGTTGAAGTTCTTTTCAAACGAAACTCACTGTGCGCCATGGGAACGATTTCACAGATTTCAGAGACAGATGGTGAAGCAGTTTCTCCAGTTGCCTCACCATGCAATGCGTTTGAACGTGGTGACACAGAGTTTTTGATGCCTCAGCAGGAATCTGTCAGGCCAATCTCAGGTCAGGTCAGTGCAATTACCTTGAAGCCTTCTTTGACCAGCTTGGGCCCTGGATGGAACATGTTGACACCGCAGTTGTATGCCATTTCAACCTTTGAGCCACGGCACATCAACACAACTTTGATACCAAGCAGAGAGTTGATGTGGCTTCGTACAACACTTGTGAAGCGTGAGACTGGCTGGGAACTTGATGAGTTTGCACAACCAATTTCAGAGCTCAGTGACATGACAGCACCTCTGCCAAATGTTCAATCGGTTTTGGAAGTGATCACACTTGCGCATGTTTTTGCAGTTCCACCTGAAGTGCTTGGTTTCAACATGCCAGAAGGCCACAACACACCACGTGCAATTGATGCTCTTGCACCTTCTCTTCCAATGTACCGTGAAAGCCCTGCTGAAGGACATGGGGCAGTGGTCGAGGTTCCAGTTGAAATGGAAGTTCCAGCAGCAGACAGTGCAGAGCCCCCAGAGATTGACCGTGATTTGCCATATGTTGCAGAAAGTGAAATGGTCGTCATTGATGGTGTTAGATACAACATGGACAGCACGTTGAGACACTTGCGTGAAGCTTGCATTGCACTTGGTTTGAGTAAGAGTGGATCCAAAAAGAGCTGCTTCAAGCGTTTGCTGGAGCACATACAACACCAAGAGTTGATTGCCTCACAATCTGCAACAGCAAAAGTCGGGTCAGAATCTCAGAGACTTCCAATCGAGCAGAAGAAACCTGAAGAACCTTCTCAAGCTGCAATCGATGCCCACAACCTTGTTCATGAACCATTTGCTGCATGGTGTCCACTTTGCATTGCCCATCGAGCGCGCCAGGATGCGCATTCCAAGCGAGGTGAGCAAGGTCTTCGATCAGACCACAGCGTGGTGAGCTGGGATTTTGGTTTTTGCAGCAGAACTTCAGATGGCACAGATGACAAACTGACTGCACTGTATCTGCACGATTCTTTCACTGGACTTCTTGGCGTTGTGCCTACGCCTCAGAAAGGTGGGAAGTATTTGAGTTACCTTACGACTGAAGTAACTCGATTTATAATGCAGACTGGACATTCAGTGGTTGCCTTGCGTTGCGATGCAGAACCAAGTACATTGACGCTGTTGAGTTCTGTGAAAAAGACCTGTCAAGCTTTGGGCATAGGCACACATGCTGAGCCAACACCAGTTGGAGCTCACCAAGCAAACGGAGGAGCCGAAGTTGCAGTGCGTCTCCTCAGATCTCATGCAAGCATATTGGTTTCTCAAGTTGAACAAGCGTGTGGAGCCACAGAGCCAATTGTGGCTGGCAATCACCCGTTCTTTGCATGGGCGCTTTTGCATTCAGCTTGGACACACAACAGGTTCAAAGTGAACGGTGGCATGACAGCATTTGAGACATGTTCTGGGAGAACTTACAATGGACGACTAGCCATGTTTGGAGAACGTGTTTATGCTTTCTTGAAACCTGAGCAGAAGGCAAAACCCTCTTGGCAGAAGGGATTGTGGCTTGGCAAAACAGCACAAGGAGATTGCCACATTGTTTCAACAGCTGCAGGCATTTTGGTGACAAGGTCAATTAGAAGGATGCCCAAGCCTTTCGAGCCTGACCTGGTTGGTGAATGCGTTGTGGCACCATGGGATTGTGGCTATGCTTCACTTGGCCACAGGATGCTCTATGCAAAGCGTTTGACACAGCCTGTGCCAACTGCAATTCAGGACTTTGTAGGTGCAACAGTGCAACCTGGATCTCCCGCTGATGAAGCTGCATCAGACCCACCTTCTCCAAATGAGGTGGAAGCAATGGCAGAAATGAAAGAACCCAGTGCAGAAGTTCCCCAACAGCCTGAGGGAATTTTCACTGATGTACCCAGCGTAGAGATACCAGCAAAGGCGGGGCTACGAATGAAGCCTCCACCACCAACCGCCGTTGTTGCAGCTCCAGCCACACCTGCAGATGCTACTGGTGCTTCTTCCTCCTCAGCACCAATGGACTTGCGTGAAAGCCCTGGCATACATGACACTGAGCATGCAGAATCAGAGCGTCCTGAGAAACAATTGCGCATCAATGCCATCTCAGATGTTGGTGCTACTCCAAACTACTCCTTTGATGATTTGCATGAAGATGGCAAGCCAGATTACTCCTTTTCACACCAAGAGCTGGATGATTTGGAAACGTACGAGCTTGGCCTTGATGATGATGGGTACTATGAAGATGGTTTCCCATCTGAGCAGTTTTCAGATGATGCTGAACGTTTGCTGCAAGAAGTTATTTTTCCTTACACCAAAGATGAGCCCAATGTTCCAGTAGACGAACTTCAGCGTTTGGATGCAATTGCAGATCGAATTGAGATGATTCGATTGAAAGGCCTTGGAGTGCTCTGTGACCCCAGCGTCTTGGATGGAGTGACATACAAAACCTTGTCCACTCGTTTCGTGCGTACGTGGAGATGCAAGAATGTTGATGGCGTGGCATGCTGGCTGAGACGCAGCAGATTTGTGGCTCGTGAGTTTGCATGGTTGAGTGAAGCCACAGAAAACCTTTTCAGTCCTGCTTCAAGTGCCATTGCGTATCGCATCATACCCACCATGTTTTTGAAGCACCAGTCAACATGGGGATTGTATGCAATTGACATCAAGGATGCGTTTCTGACAGTTGAGCAGCGTGACCCAACCATGGTATATGCTCAAGATGCTTCAGGTGAAACAATAGCATACTCACTGGGACGTGTGTTGCCAGGTCAGAGAACAGGCAGCATGTTGTGGCATGAGTCTTTGACACAGCATTTGAAGGATGCAATTGGTCTTGTTGAGTGCGAATGCTACCCTAGCATGCTCAAATCACAGTGTGGACAATGCTTCATTCTTCTTCACGTTGACGACTTGTTTGTGACAGGATCGAAGCAATATGTGAATGAGGTATTGATCCCATGTTTGAAGGCCAAATACTCCATTGCTGTGGACTCAGTTGAGAACCCAGGTGATGAAGTTTCTTTTCTGAAGCGCAGTCATGTTTTGCTTGAAGGTGGAAAGATGCTCATACGTTCGCATCACAAACACTTCAGCCAGTTGAAGGAGTTGTTGGGATTCGGAAAGAAATACTTTGCAAAGAAAACACCAAGTCATCCCAAAATTGATGACATCGATGAAACTCCAGTTTTGGCTGACTCAGATGCGTCCAAGTATCGAAGCGCAGTCGGCACCTTGTTGTACCTTGCGCCAGACCACCCACAGTGTCAACATGCCATACGTTTTCTTGCAACGCAAATGAGCAGTCCAACAGAGCATGCGTGGCAAGTCTTGAAACACCTTGTTTTGTACATGCTTGGACACCAGGATGTCTGCTTAAGCCTTGAGTTTGCAGGTGAGACTACAGGTATTTTTCATGAATACACCAACAGCCGATACGGCGTGTTGGAAGTATTTACAGACGCTGACTGGGGAGCATCAAAGATGACAAGATGCAGCATCAGTTCATGTGCCATATTCTATGGTGGATGCCTTCTCTACAGTGCGTCGAGAACGCAACGAGTGGTTGCGCTTTCCTCAGCTGAGTCAGAGATTTACTCAGCAGCCTCAGGTGTATGTGATGCAGTGCTGGTGTGGAGAATCCTGTGCTGGATGACAGACGCACCAATAGCAATTCATTTGTACCTGGACTCAGCAGCTGCTCGTGGAATCATGGCTCGACGTGGAGTTGGGAAAATCCGGCATTTGTCTTGCCGATGCTTGTGGTTGCAAACTTTGGTTGCTGCAAAAGACCTTGTTGTTTCTCCAGTTGCAGGAACGAAGAACCCTGCAGACCTTGGTACCAAACGTCTCAGTCCACACAGAATGCTGGGACTGATGTTTGTCATGGGCATGTATGACACAACGTTGAACGAGAAAGTTGGTGAAGGAAGCCCAAACCTTCCTTACAACTGAGAGCGTGAAGAAAGCCATCAAGACCATCAACTACTGTGCGAAAGTGCCACATCAGGCGCTACAACTTATGCTTCTGGTGAACGCCTTGGGCCTTGGCAAGGGAAATGAAGAGTTTGAGACAACAGCAGAGCCTTCATGGACGCATGGTTTTCTCTCAATGCTCACTGGACTCCTGTGTGCAATCGGTGGTTTGATCTTCCTAGTGCGAGTTGCTCAGCGTCGTCAACCACATGACGCTGTGCTCCAACAGGTTGCTGAAGCTCCAAATCAGCAACGTGACCCTGCAGTTATGAATGAGATGGATACTGAGTCCGATGAACTGGACGAATCAGCTGAACCAATTCTGAACGCCGAGAGAGGTACAGAAAACGCTCCTGCTTCAACAGACCATGCTGGAGATCTTGCAAGGATGCTTCGCCACCACGGACTTCCACCAGCGTATGCACGCTATTCGCCGGAGCACATGATCCTTTGGATGATCATCAGAGGACAAGGGCGAATTGCCCGCCATGCTGGGACAAACCGTGGGAGACTTTGGACTTTGCGAGTGAGAGCCCTTACAGAGCTACTTCAGCATGTGCGAACGTGCACCGAAGCAACGGTGCGACAGCGAGCTATGACGACAATGCTGGATGCAGGTGATTTCAGTTCAGACGATGATTCACCCTCTTGTGGTGATGTTCCAGATCATCGACACCAGTACATCGAAGATGTTCAACAAGCAAGGGACTTTGCTGACCATGTGATCAGCACTATGGGGCCTTCAGATGCCGGCCCAATCGACGATGTGATCGAAGCACAAAGACTCATGAACAACACTGGAGAAGAAAACATGGAAGAAGAGACACCGACGTCAGATGTTCTGATGGATGGCGATGAGAACAATTACACGGAAATGATTGCGATGCACAGAGAACGACGCCGAGCTATGCAAGTGTTTAGAGCAAATCGTGACGCAGCTCTTGAGTTGGGAAATCGAGAAGAAGCTGCATACTGGGAGAGTCAAGAGGACCAATTACTCCTTTTGTGATGTGCAAATGGAACAAAGGAGCTTGTGAGAAATGCGCTTCCATACGGATGCTTTCAGCTCGAACAATGCTGAGCCTGAGCGTGAATGAGAGCGCTTAGTCCGTTACGTGACAAGCTGTTGTTTCTACTCAGTGCTATGCTTGTAAGGCCCTATGCTTTGGAGCTTACATGAAGCTCACTTACAGGCAAAAGCACCCAAACAGGTTGGAAATTTGTGTGATACAATGTCACACTTTCTGGCCATAACAGTCAAGTTGTTGCTTCCACTTAGCTGTAGGCTTGCGGTAGCTTCAATGTGTCAAGCTGTTTTGTTTTCAGTGACGTGCACAGCCTGGTGAACCTTGTTTGACTTTTGTTTTTGGACTTCTGTGCGCAAAGGAATGTTGTATCGCAGTCCTCAAGGGACAAAACGATACAAAGGCGGGGTGATAAGTATTTCGCCATATAGATACTGTATAGATATGTATACAAAACCACCTAAACAGCTGAAACCAACTGTTCTTATCAGTGTGACAACTCACTGATTTGGTGCACCATGAATAGCATGGATGACAGATGTTCGCGCAGGCGTTTTGGAACCAGGAAAAGAATCAGAGATACTCCGGCAATTGTGAGGACAATGCCTACGTATCTTCTTTGACCTCTGGGTATTTGATCTGGAGATCTACTTTGTGATCTTTATATCTGTGGCTTATAGCTGACGTTTGGTTATTGCAGTAAGCGAACTACCTTAGCGCTATGACTGTTTATGACTGGACATTAGCTGAGAAGTCAAGCAGATCTTTTGAGTATGTGAGATACTTCGGCATTGTGAGGACAATGCCTACGTATCTTATTCAACCTCCGGATACTTGATCTGGAGAGCTGCATTATGATCTTTATGCCTGTGACTTGTTGCTGACTTTTGGTTATGACAGTAAGCGAACTACTTTAGCGCTATGACTGTTTATGACTGGATATTAGCTGAGAAGTCGAGCAGAGTATTCTACTCTCCTCGACGGTTTGGAACTATGAGAAGATATCTCTGTGTGAAGAACTGCTGTGGAGAAGTCGAGCAGAACATTTTTACTCTCCTTGGTAGTTTGGCACTATGGGAGCACATATCTATGTGAAGAACTGTTTTGGAGATGGAACATGAGGTTCCCATGTTGTTCTGTATTGCAAGAGGATTTTGTATAGGAATTTGAGTGGAACATTTCGTTCTTAACTAGCCGTGTGACTAGTCTAGACGTTTGGTAGAGACTAGTAACACCGGCTAGCTGGTTACTTGCGTTTGGACGAGGACCAGCTTGACTTGAGAACTTTTGGAGATGTTTCTGACGTTTTGTGACTAGGTGATTTGTATATCATAGCAGTTCGGAATTGTTTCAACAACCTTTGAGGGAAGGTTGTGTATTGGAAGCCTGGAATCGAGTTTTCCAGTTGAGACATCGGCTCAAGGGAGTGGTGTCAATTGTTCCGAAGCGAACTGAACTGCAGTGTCACCTAGGGCATTGGAAACAGTAGCCACACTTGGAACTTGTTGTGTTGCTTCCCTTGTGGTTTGTGGCCGTGTGCCTGCCTTGGATCTTGTTGACCTGTTCCGTTGTGCGTGGCGTCTGGAGAGAAAAGAAGGAGTCTGACGTGCACTTTGGAGTCGGGGTGGAACAAGTTCCTTTACTTGACTTTGTGGGGAAGTAAGTAACTGCGGAGATGCAAACACAATAGGTGTTCGCATCTGGCGTAGTGAAGTAACGAAAGCGTTGATTGCGGTACACACGAGGTGTACCTAGATATGACGTTTTTTCACATGGTAGCGGAGCCCTGAAAGAAGGGCTGCCCACACCATCTTCCGCTGACCCTTGTGTGTGACAAGATACTAAGGACGTCATCTAAGGTGAGATTGGGATCTTGGGTATTGGAGCTCCGTGATCTGGACGCAGATGCAGAGATGAGCTCGTACTAAGGTGCACCTATGTCACAGGGGTGATGATCTGAGAGTGTGAGGTCACTAGGGAGTGTGGAGTTGGTTTGAGTCTGTTTGGGTTCAGGTGACTTTGGGATCCTGTTTTAGTTTTTGTATAGATTTTTACGGATCATGAGGATCGTGGACGTATCGTTTTATTTGAACGACTCTTCGTTTGCAAGTTGGGCAAGATTCAGCAGGGTTTGTTCTTGGTAGACTGGACAGAAATGAATCCATGGTAAGCTGTCGACAGTGGTACCTGTGGGAGAACATGTAGAATTTGTCAGCCCTGGGCAGGATTGTGACTTGGAACTCCCTGAGGGTGGGGCAGCTGATTGCCAGGTTTGACATCCTCGGACACTGAGGTATTGGATCAAGGTGCAAAGGTTGGGAACTGATGGGGTCAGGTACATGGTTCTTGCGAACAACTGAGGCACGTCTTGGGTCTTGAACTCAGTTGGTCTTTAGAAGAGGGGTAGTGAGAAAAGGTGTATCAGGTGGCTGGAATAAGCATGTGAAGAGCGCTTTCTGAGTTGTCATGGCAGTGTTATTCAATCTGAAGGTAGATTTGATTTTGAGCCCAATACGCATGAAACTTTGTCTTTGGAGTACACTGTGGGTGATTGAAGGTGGAAGTCATGCTTGTCACTGATGACGCCAAGTATTGTTCAAGAAGGTCAAAGGTAGATCTGGTTGCCATGTCCGATCGGGGAGACCAGAAGGAAGTCTCTAAGGAGGAGCCAACATCTGTAACGTCTCGCGCTAAGCAACCAGTGATCAAGAATAGCTTCGACAAGAAGGGCCAGTCTTCCAAAGCTGTGCGGCGTCGAGCATATCCCATTGACGCGGCTACCGCACCTGTTGTCATTGATGCGGAAGAAAGTGTGGCGGGCGTCAGAAGGGAGCCACCGTTGATTGATGCTGCGACAATGTCGACGTCTGGGAAGGAAGGTCACTGTGATACACGTGCCAACTCGGACGATGAGTTGACGAGTGTGAGTGACGTCCCGGAGATGACAGCTGAGGAAGACCTGCTCAGAGAGGTTGGGCTGAATGATCCTAGTTAGGCCATAGTTTGCTGGTTTAGGAGGAGACGTCAGTAGAAATAGCTTTTGTGCTCTGCGGTTGGCTGCCTGGAAAGAAATGACCCGTTTAGCTCTGTTTTGATGCGGGAGCTTGAAACGTTGAACTGTTTGTGACCTAGAGGTGTATAAGGTCGTTGGCTGAGAGAGGTAAAGCTGGAAGCGACAGAGAAAGCCGTTGGGTCAGTCTTGTGATGTTTGCACATGAGAAGTGTGGGAGTTTTGGTTTCCAAGAGTATGAGCTTTGGATGAACCTCTACTCATGTTTCCGCAGCTGTTTGTGACTGTTTTGTGTCAAGAGCTCTGAGACCGTGGCCGTGTGTGTGCGTTTCAAACATGGAGTCGCTCAAGCTCTGGATTGCTTTGACGCCTAAGCAGTTGGAAGAGTTGAACAAGGGCAATGAGGTGTTTCCAGATGAATATTCTGGTCGCTTTGACCTGCGCTTGGGACCTAAGGAGGCTGTGGATCGTGCCCAGTACTTTATGGATTGGACGCCTGAAGGTTTGAAGGGTGAACACTATCAGAAAGACTATGCGGTGATGGAAATGGAAGTCTTTGCGCTCGGGTACCTTCAAAAGGTTGAGAGTGGAATCTTGGAGAAGACTAAGCCCACTGAGTACCGCTGGCATGGGCCTGTGAAATGTGAAGAGTGGGACAGCAAAGGGCGCTTGTTGTACCGCAGTAGTGAGATGGCTGTTAAGTTCATCTAACTGGTCAGGGTCCAAGTATAGCAATCGGGCAGACCATGGAGTCTTAGGTATAGTTTTTGAGTCCCAGTTTGAAATGCGGAAGGGAAAGAAGAAAGAGTTCCTTCGGCAGCCTGGAGGGTCTGCGTTGATCATGTGATGAACGGACAGTTTGCATTGCTGTGGGGAAACTGTGCATTTGGGCACGTGGAGTTGTCATGCGGAGTTGGAGCTTGACTGTAGGGTCATGGGTCGTTGGTTCAGAGGAACTGTATGCGGCAAGGATCACAGTCAAGAGATCAGCCTGTACTGGGATTTGCAGTGAGTGTTTTGTTTGCCACATGAAGCATTAGTTGCATTGCATGTCTGCATCGATGCCGCGAAGCCATTTGTTTTGCTTTTGCTGAGTGAAGGGATCTAATTCGTTTTTAATTTTAGAGCAATGGAGGATAGCATCCGCCTTTGGATCGCTGTCGCCCCACCACAGTTGGAAGAACTGCGGACGCTTCAGAGGATCTCACCAGATATCTATACCTCCAGGATCGATTTGAGTGCGACTCAAATGTACTGGAGAAAGTTCAGAAAGGTGAGTTCCGTTGGTATGGACTTCTTCTTCCTGAAGAATATGATGGGCAAGGAAGGTTGCTTTATCGGATCATCGATCAGATGGTTGTCTATGAGCCAGTTCGTGAACGTCCTGATCGAAACTAAAGCGTGGGTGAGTTGTAGATTAGTGTACTTTAGGTCTCTAGGCTCAGCTGTGTGAGTTGTTGCAAAATGGTGGAAAGTGCGGTTTGAGTGCGTGCAATCGGTGATTGGCACATTTCAGTATTTTGATGCGGTCATGTTGCAAGAGTGTGGAATGCAGTCATGTGGAATCTCAATTTTAAAACGAAACGAAACAAACGAAACGAAACAAACAAATGAAACACAAACAATTTTGGGTGTTTTGTGCAATGCTCCTTGTTTTGCAGTTAGGTTTTTATTTGTCAGTTTGTCAGTTGGCGAGTGCAGTTTTTGCGAAGATGACTTGTTGAAGGGTTCTTGCAAAACCACGGAGACAGGTTCATTTCCAGAACACTTGCATGCCTGTCAATCGATTTGATTTTGAGTTTGTGCTGCATACAGCAGGGAGTGCACAGTGAGCTCACGAGAACTCGTTTTGACTTGTTTTAGGGATGGTGACTGTTCTGGCGTTTTGTAGAGAAGGACAGTCAGTTTTCCCTGTTTTGCTGTGTTGGAAATGAATCCAGACTTTGGTTGCATGTTGGGACATGTGCTACTGGT